AACCGTAAACTGAGAACAGATGGACCACCTGAAGTGATTAACACGGATATTATGTCTGAGTGGTTGCACCAGCAGGCGGTCCCTGTGCATCCGCACTGCGTCGGGGATTATCTCATCACGCAAGAGTTGCTTCTTTTCATCAGTGAGAATATTCTTAGAATTGCAATAAATTATTGAACCAGAGAAGTCAGGCTTCATCTCCCCAGGCTGTGTGCAGTAGCGGGAGCTGTCATCAAAGTCCTCGGTGAACACCGAGATGCGGATCGGCTCCCACGGGTCAGTGGCGGTGAAGCTGCCATGCTGCTCCGCACCCTGCCCCTGCGGCGCCCCGCGGTCCCCCACCTCGGGGACGGCACTGCTGCCGGTCGCCAGCTGCAGGCGCTGCAGCTCGTCGAAGATACAACGGTGTCCCGCAGCGATCAGCGGGGTCCCGACAAGCAGCGCGAGCAGGACAGCGGCAGCGGTCAGCGCGGACACCCGCAGGCCGGTGCGTGGGCTGGGCATTCGGTGGCGTGTGGCGGCGGGGATCGTGGACAATGCGCTTGGTGGCGGTGTGAATATTTGTGTGTGTGTGCTTGGATGGTAATGTTGTTATGCGAGTGTATTACTGTTGTGGTACGTGACACAACGCACGTGTGTGGTGTGAAGGGGAAGGAGAAGAAGAAGAAGGGGGGAGGGTTGCTCAGATGCGCACCAGGCGCCCATGCGAATCGGCTACGGTGCCCTGCTGCACAGCGCCCTTCCAGGTCCGTGACACTCGCAATGGAGGTCGTAATAACAATGTGTCCCATTCAGAGTAAATAAGAATCAACCTTTTTGGTGTAGTTACAATTTGGGTATAAAGATATAAAAATTAATCAACGCATAATCATGTATAATTTCTGAAAAGTAATAATGTATTATTTTCACTAGTAGAAAGAAAGTGACCTAGTTACTCCACAAATAAGGACGGGGCATCGGAGTGCTTACCTCGGCGCCATTCCACTCGCTATGCTTCCCTTGATCCGCGGCTGTGCACCCCATCCTCGTCCCTTGGTCACATGGTTTTAGTTCAACGTTGTTTAATGATAATAGCATACACAATTTAATCCAACTCAGTCAGTGGTTTCCCCACTCCCGATGAGATGCAATTTATAAATTACACATCGAAAGATGAAAATATTTCATGTACGCCCGAATAAGAAAGAATAATAACGAATAATTATAATAATCGCCTATATATTAAAGAATACAAGTATAAACAAAAGAGATATATATACGCACATGAATATATATATATATATATATATATGTATGTATGGAAAGAAAGATTCGCTTGCTTTGTTAGATAAAAAGGAAGTAAAATTATATCACTGAATGAAAAAAACGATCAGGGGCCACCCTACAGCGCACGTTTCTCCCTGCCATCATTCAGCAAGGACAATCAGAACAGCCAGGGCCGCCACAAGCGTGTAAGTGAAGTGGTACGCGATGTTAGTCGTACCGGATGCGGGGATGTGATGGGTCTCGCTTCAGTAATAGTTTGTGTTGCACACCTCCTCGTATGGCGCACACTCGATCGCGCCAGACTTAAACTCTGTACTGTACTTCGAGAGCACAAGAGTGCTTCCGGGTGGGCAGTCCACGAAATCAGTCGCACCCTTCACGCGCACCTGATACTTCGAGGTGCCCTTGTCGCACAGCACGTCCGCACAGATAGAGCGCATAATGTCATATTTTATCTGGAGGGTAGTGTTTGAGACAGCTGAAAAGCATCGTGCAGATTTTGAAAACACAGAACCTGGCAGAGTTGTTGCATTTCCATTTATGCACTTGGTTTCAATAAATGGTAATATAAATGGACAGTAATCCATCGAACGGTAAATGCCACCCATTGTCGGATCGGAAAAATACTGGAAATATGTTGGCAAGGTAGCATGATGCTTGATTAAGCAGTTTCCGATCCCCATCCGCTCTGATGTGCACCTGTACTCACTTTTTAAACGTATTTTAGAATCGCAGAACATCTCCGGCATCTGCGACACACCGTTGATAACGCACTTCGTATCAAACAACAGGCAGCCGGCATTCTTACCCCATGACATGCTTTCAGCATTACTGTAGTTGCCCTTGTAGTACCCCGTGTCCTCCATCGCCGCGATGGTGAAGGCGGTGTAGAAGCTTGAACCGTTAATAGGAGCCATCAGTTCGTCCTTTGTGTTACGCATCTTCCAGTGTGACCCCGCAGAGCGACTACCACCTGCATCCTCCAACTCCACGTACTGCATGGTGCTGCAACCATAATGTGCCCTCGCGACTTCCACCACTTTTGGTGACTTCAGAACAGAACTTTTTTTCTTACCGCGAACCGACACATCAATAATCATTCCTCTGATCTGAAATATTTCAATGTCGAATCCCAAGGCGTGCAGTATCTCGTGCGCCATGGTGCGTGTGGAAGAGAAAACATCCAGAGCGTTTCGAGGCCCCAAATTGACAACACCCACCTGAATGCGGCCACTGGCGTCAGACTGGCAGTAGGCTGTCCACCCGATAATACCAGGTACAGTTGGTCCTGCCGCAACGTACAGCACAAAGTCGGTATCCGGCACACCGGTGGTGTGGTGAGACTGGGGAACCGTAAAGTACGGGCAGAGGGATCCTGTAAGATGTCCAACACGGATATTATGTCTGAGTGGTTGCACCAGCAGGCGGTCCCTGTGCATCTGTACCGCGTTAGGGATTATCTGCTTACGAATCAATTGCTTCTTTTCATCGGTGAGAATGTTATCGGGATTGCATTTAATCATGGAGCCTTTGAAGTTAGGTTTCATCTCCCCAGGCTGTGTGCAGTAGCGGGAGCTGTCATCAAGGTCCTCGGTGAACACCGAGATGCGGATCGGCTCCCATGGGTCAGTGGCGGTGAAGCTGCCATGCTGCTCCGCACCCTGCCCCTGCGGCGCCCCGCGGTCCCCCACCTCGGGGACGGCACTGCTGCCGGTCGCCAGCTGCAGGCGCTGCAGCTCGTCGAAGATACAACGGTGTCCCGCAGCGATCAGCGGGGTCCCGACAAGCAGCGCGAGCAGGACAGCGGCAGCGGTCAGCGCGGACACCCGCAGGCTGGTGCGCGGGTTGGGCATTCGGTGGCGTGTGGCGGC